CTGCACGGTCCACTGTGCTCGAGGACTACTGACTGCTGGTCCGGCGACCTGATCGGCAGTGTCCACCACCGTGTCGATGATCGTCGCGGCACTGGCACTGGGGTGCAGTGCCGACCCGTTCCTGCCATTGTTGGGAATGGTGAAGCTGCTCACCCGAGTGGTCAGTGTGGTGGCGGTGGTGTTGTTCCCTGCCATCAATCCTCCTCCACCTCCAGCGCCTCCGCCCACTCCGCTCAGGCTGTAGGACTCATCACCGCCGCCGATGGTGCTCGTGCCGGTGGAGCTGCATCGACGACCACCACTGCCTCCCCCGGAGCCGCAGAGAAGGCGACTTCGAAGGGGTCGACTGTTGTGTCCACCACCTCCACCACCACCACCTCCTCTCCTGCCCCTCCTCTGCTTGGAGGACTGTCGGGGGCAGCACAGCCAGCGGAGACAGGGACAGAGCTTGCCGATCACCCTGAAGTACTTCTTCGCCCTCACCCTGAAGGCCTCATTCATCCAGCAGTAGATGAAGGGATTGTAGCAGACGGAGAGGACCGAAAGCTGGTGCAGTATCATAAAGACCGAGTAGTTGAATGAGAGCTGGTGCAGGTCAATCAGCAGGTGGTAAAAGTTGAGTGGCGCCCAGCTGATGGCAAAGGCGGCGACGACGATGATGAGCATGGTGATGCGCTTCCGCTTCGCCTCCACCGCCCGCCGGTTCAGCTCATCGCAGAAGTGCCTCGCCAGCTGTCCCTGTCGCTGGATGATGAGGGCGATCTTGGCGTAGAGCACGGCGGTGACCGTCAGCGGGAGGAGGTACTGCGTCAGCGTCGTCTCCAGGCTGAGGATCAGATTGAAGGTGTCCACGTAGTCCGGCGGGTACATCGCCCGACAGCGACGGGCCTTCCGGGAGCGGCCCTGCTGGTCGAGGTACGGCGAGGGCGAGTCGTCGACCACCTGGTTGAAGAGCGAGTGCGGGAGGGCGAGGATGATGCTCGCCACCCAGATGCCCACGATCCAGAGCACTATCTTGCCCTTGGTCATGACGTACGGCGAGTAGGGTTTTTGAGGCTTATGAGGCTTGCTGGTCTGCTGCTGCTGCTGATGATTGCCATTGCCATTACTGTTGCCGTGTGCCGCCCCGGCGGCCATCAGCGGCCCCACCCTGACGGCCCTGAAGCGGTGAATGCCAATGGCGGCCATGGTGAAGGTGGAGACGTAGACGCTGGACACCTGGACGGTGGGCATCAGCAGGCAGAAGCAGTCGGGCAGGGGCCAGTCCTGGAGCATCGTCCGCGCGCACATGAAGGGAATGTTGAAGATGGTCGTCGCGATGTCGCTCACCGTCAGCGAGAGGATGAGGATGTTGGTGGTGGTGCGCAGCTTCGGCGTGGAGATGATGATCCGACAGACGAGCAGATTGCCCGGCAGGCTGACCACCAGAATGAGGCCGTAGCCCACCAGGAGGAGGACGTTCCAGAAGACCGTCGCCTGGTTGCTGTCCAGCGTCTCCTGACGAGGGTCGTCAGGGCTGCCGACCGATCGGTCCCGGTGGAAATTGTAGTAGTTGTTGTTGTCGTTGGGGAGAGGTGGATGGACGCCCAGGGCGGGATGCACTTGGCTGTAGTTGGCGGGGGCGTAGTAGTCGAAGATTTGCCCATTCATAGAATCGGCATTTTCCAACAGTAGGCGTTCTTTCAACTGCCGCAGAGTGCCCTCAAAGGAGCGACTGCCATTCACCAGGAAGATGGCCGGCTGAGAGGGGAGGGGAGGAACAAGGGAAGTGGGTGAGAGCAGTGCTAATCATCTAGTAAGGATACACTTACCACGTTTTCATTGTGCACCTCGGGGGGACAGTTGTGATGAATGTCCATTAGAATGGCCGCCACATCTGGCTGCTGATGCTGCTGATGTTGCTGCTGCTGCTCGATTTCATCAGAGGGATAGTCGAGAGGGTAAAAGAGGTCACTGGCGTTCAGATTCAGATCAGCAGAAGAGGATGAAAAGGAGGAGGAGGAATTGGTAGTGATGTTCATTTTCAGTGATGGCATTGGTGGCAGCGGTGGTCCTCCCACCAGCTCATCGGCAAGGCGCTGCACTGAGGGCACCACATAGACGTCACAGACGGGAAGGGAGGAGGAGGAGGAAGAGGAGGTGCTGGTGCTGCTGGTGGGAGATGAAGTCCATTGTACAGGTGGTGAGGTAGTGCCATTCTCCGCGAGCGCAGTTCCCACTACTGCCAGCAGGAAGAGGATCATCGTGGGCGGCCAGAAGGTATCGCCTGCACTACCATCTCTCCTCCTCCGCCGTCGCCGTGTGAATTTGGCCGTGCNTAGGGAGGAAGAGGAGGAGGAGGTGCTGGTGCTGCTGGGAGAAGATGAAGTCCATTGTACAGGTGGTGAGGTAGTGCCATTCTCCGCGAGCGCAGTTCCCACTACTGCCAGCAGGAAGAGGATCATCGTGGGCGGCCAGAAGGTATCGCCTGCACTACCATCTCTCCTCCTCCGCCGTCGCCGTGTGAATTTGGCCGTGCCCATTGTGCCGTACAGACACTGATTTGCAAATCACTGTCAGTTCTGTTTGCACTGTCTGGCTGTAGTCAGTGTGCTGTGTTCGCTGTGTGTGCACCTGATTGAAATGTTCAGCTCAACAAAAACAGTGTTTAGTGCAGGTGCATCGATGACTGTCTGAATGAAGTGGGTGCTTGCTCTTCCGCATTGGAACTGATGCATTCGCTGTTTTCACTGTCAAGTCAACAACTGCAAAAAAGGAAGAAAACGGAGGGGGAATATGAATGAGAAGAAAGTGTATTTAAATGCTGATTGCTGTTGTCGTGTAGAGGACTGAGGAACAAGCAAGGAGTACTGTCTGTGTGCCCACTGAAGCACAGAAGCACTTTGCTCTGAAACACTCTGCTCACTGGCACTCCAAAATATGCCCGAGAAGAAGAAGACGACGAAGAAGACAAAGTTAATAATTTCATCATCACACATCATGTCAAGTCAGTGGTGTCCGTCTTCTCACCCCTTTCTTCGCTTGTGTAAATATCAAATTTAATTAAATCCAGCAGTCTGAGTCGGGGACAGACGACACAAAGGCGAATGACGACATGGCTGCTCCACTGAACCAATTTAGTACTCTCTGACTCACACTAACTCACAGACTCTCCTTCCGCCACGGAAGCAGACAATAGGCTCCATTCTTTAGCCAAAAATGTTCCCTCTAAAATTCCTTCGAAGCGCCCATCCTTCTCTGTTTCTAATTATAAAATTTATAATTCGCTGAGAGTAGCCAGTGCAGCCGAGTCTGCCCTCTTTCACCCCTTCCACTTGTGCAAATATCTATATTTGAGTCCATTTAATTAACTAATTTGTTGCCGACTTTTGTCGGCCGCCCTTTTCCCCTTCTCCTAAGATGTAATCTTTTCTTGCTATTTAGTCTGCCGTGTTTGCCCATCCTCGCCATCCTCTCCGCTTTCCCCTAGCTTCCTTGCCCCATCTTTGCATGTCAATACCGTCTGAGCTACCTTTTCTTGTTTCGCTTTCTTCAGCTTTCCCTTTCCTTTCCTCTTACCTCATTCGCTCACATTCTCAGGCACCGTCTGTCAGCATTGGTACAGTAAATAGCACCGGCTGTTTTTCATTCATTCCTTCCATCCACCCATTCTTTTCATCCGTTGCTCTCTCCTTTCAGTTCGATCATCATCACCATTTATTATTCAGTGGCACTTTCCCTCCTCCTTCCCTCTCGTTCTCTCGTTGCGGGTAAATATGGCTCGGGCGCTAATACCGGGTTGGCACAGGGAAAAGAAAAGAAAAGTGCGTGAAAGAGAAGGGGCATTAATATTCAACAAGGGATGACACATTGTCGACACTGTTGCTATGGGGCACNCCGCTAATACCGGGCTGGCACAGGGAAAGGAAAAGAAAAGTGCGTGAAAGAGAAGAGGCATTAATATTCAACAAGGGATGACACATTGTCGACACTGTTGCTATGGGGCACTGCCGTACGTAGTCAGGGCTGACAGGGCTGCATCATTATTAGGGAAAGGCGTCATCAGATCGGATAACTCTTCTCTCTCCAATAATTGCCAAGTAAGTGCCCTCTTCTCACGGACCCTGCCGTCCCATTCTGTCCCCTTTGCGTACCTTTGCAACAGTGGGAACTTGTAAGACTTCTGCACAGTTTCCCACCGTACCTACTCCTCTTCACTCCTCTTCACCTTACTTTACTCTCAAGTGTTTATGCTTTCTCAGTTTGCTTCTTTCTTTC